CGGCACCTTGCTCGGTCGGCAGAGCAGAGTGCAGAAGAGCGGGAGCTCCGGGACTGAGGCCGGGGTTCAGACTGAGTCGGTGTTAGTTCCTGGCCCTGTTGATCAAAGGCAACTCATTTCACCTCTCCGTGTCCCCGTTTGCTCATCTGTGAAATGGGCCCAGTAAGTGTCCCCGCCTCATAGTCACACATGGAATGCCCTTAGCACAGCGCTCAGTTCCCAGAGAGCACCCCATACCCGCTCTTAATCCTCGGTTGATTTCTGAGTCTCGGACGTGCCTGCCAGGCGGGGGTTAACACCGGCTCCATTCGGCCAGGGGAGGCACTGAGCCTGAAGCTGAGTCCCCAGATTCAACCAGCTGATGAAGATCAGGGATGGGATTCAGACCTGGGCCCGCCGTCCTCCAAAGCCCACGTTCATCCTGCATGTCCACGCGGTGCTCAGGTGTGGACGGCGCACCCTTGCCCGTGCGTGAGCCCCGGGCCATGTGCAGACGCACACGGTGTGCTGTGCTCTGCCTGGTACGTCGGTGGTTTCCAGAGGTGGACAGGCATTTGGAGGCACTGTGCCAGCTTGGGGCAGGTGCTCTTCATGGCTTCTCAGTGAGCCATGGAGCCCGTGGGCCACTCCGGGGGACACTTGCTGGGCACTCGGCTGCCCCAGTGTGATGGGTCGTCTTCCCCAGCCCAGGGCCAGCCAGAGCAGGCTGGACAGGGCACCCAGCTGCCAGGCCCCTGGGAGGTGAAGGAAGACCCTTTGGCCGGGCTGGCTACACGCTGGGACCTGGCGAGGCATGGTGCGGTCTCCCCGGAGGGGCAGGCTGTTCCAGGCACCGGCCATTTGCAAACGCTGAGGAGTGCAAGTGAGCCTCTAGGCCTGGGAGAGGAAATGGCAGTACGAGCAGGCCCAGAACAGGATCCGGGAAGGCGGCCGAGGGAGGGGAGCGGCCGGAAAGCCCAGGGGTGGGCCGGTTGGTGCGCTGGCGGCCGTCCTTCGAGAAGCAGCCAGCGGGGCTAGTCTTCCTGGGCAGGTCCGTGTGCGTGCGTGCACCTGCGTGCGGGGCTCGGGCCCCTGGGCGGCCACTGAGCAGCTTTAGCAGCCCAGCTAGCTCATCAGTAATGTGCTGGGGATGGGGGATTTGATGAGGTCCTGTGAACGCCCAGCGCACCTTTGGACAAAAAAAGAGCTTTGATGAGAATCTTTACTATGGGCCTGGGTTCTGTGTCTTTGAAGCATTTATAACAGCACGAGACTCGGGAAACTGTCCGACGTGGCAGATGGGAGCCTGTCTGGGAGGCCCCGGGTGGTTTGTGTGTCCCCTCGTTGGGGCCTCTTAGGTAGAGACTGGAGGCCTGGACTCTCAAGAGAGCTGCCTGCCCATCCCAGCCTCAGTTTCCCTATCCATAAAGCAAGGGGGTCAATACTACCCACAGGTTTCTCGTGGCCTCCCTGGTGATGAGGTCACTCCCCACTCATCCCCCTTAATGGGGAGCAGTTGTTGGTGGGCCCTGGGAAAGTGTCCCCAGCCTCGGGTCCCCAGGACTCTGGCTTCCGAGTTTCTTGAGGGACTAGGAGGGAGGTCTGAGAGGCCAGGCCCGCAGACCCACAGAAGGGTGGGGGCGGGGGGGGCCGGGCTGCTCCAGCATGTGCTGGGGAACCTCTGGCCCAGTTTCCTGGGCGCCCGGCCCTGCCCCAGGATTCCTGCAGTGGGTGGGTCTGCACTTCCGGCCCAGGCGTGGGCGGCGGGGTCCTCGAGGCAAGCGGAGTTCCCCACCCGCCACAGCCTCCTGGTTGCGCAGCTTCTTTTGGCTCGATGGGATGAGGTCTCCCACCTGAGCGTGGCATGCGGGGTCCGGGCGGGTGGGCCCCCCGCCTGCCGGCCGTGCCCGGGCCCAGGTGACACGGCGGTGGCAGCCTGCAGCAGCATCGCGGGGGCTGACCGCGGTAGAGAAGGTGCCCTCCGGCTCGAGCCTTCGTGGTTACGATCACCCGAAGAGCACGTCGCCTGGTGCCAGGACCTGTGGAGGCTCTCAGCCCCGGATGGGTGGGCCTCGAGGGTCTCAGGCCTCGGTGCCGGGTGCTCTAGCTCCAGAGGTGAGCCTCGCCCCCGAAGATGCGGTCATGCTCAGATGGCCTGTGTGACCGTGCGGGTGCTGGTGGTGGCCCTGGGAAGCAGCTTCCAGGTGGGCACTCCCGGGCCAGGCGGTGTGGCCGGCCAGCACAGCCTCAGCAGATGCCACCGCAGAGAGGTATGGCTGCCACCGCAAGCGTCCCACTGCCAGGGGACAAGTGAGCAAGACAGGCTCAGGCAGGACCAGTGAAGGGACCCAGAGAAGCAGAAACCCCTGCCTTGGCCCAGTGGAGAATTGGGGGCCACACTTGGCTCCCCCAAGGGAGGGTCAGCGCATGTCAGATGCTGCGCGCAGGACTCAGTTCCTTGCAGCTGGGGGGAGCAACCCTTTGTTGACCTACTAAGCGCCAGCCTCAGGGCCGGCTACTTTGATCCTGTTTATTTGTTTATCTTAAAGATTTTGTTTATTTATTTGAAAGACAGCACGAGCAGGGGGAGAGGCAGAGGGAGAGGGAGAAGCAGACTCCCCGCCAAGCGGGGAGCCCGACGCGGGGCTCGGTCCCAGGACCCCGGGATCATGACCTGAGCGAAGGCAGACGCTTCACCGACTGAGCCACCCAGGCGCCCCCCTCCCTTTTTTTAACTGTCCATTTGAAAATGCAGTCGGCCCGTTCTGCTTCCCTCTGACATCCCATCGGAGCCCGCGTGGGCCGGCGCTGCCCGGGTGCTGGAACATGGTGCGGACAGGACGGCTGCAGGCCCTGCCTGTGTGGAAGGTGCTGGCAGTTTTCTGTGTGAGAAAACCAAGGCTCAAAGAGGCCAAGGAGCATTCCCAGAGTCACGCAGCGAGGGAGTAACAGAGGCTGCACCCAAACCAGTCTCTGACCACAGGACCTGCGCTCTCCCCACGCTGTCCCCACGCTCTGTGGAAACGGCCGGATACAAGACCCCTTTTTATTGTTTCCCTGTCATGGATGCTGACCTTGGTGGGCTCTTCCCAGACACGCAGTGCCGGGAAGGCCCTGTCCTTTGCGCTGGAGTTCTGCCACCCCCAGGGAGAGCCAGGATGGCCTCCATCCCTTCCCCCCAGGGGCCATGTCGTGCTGGTTCCGGGGGCCCTAAGGACCCGTCTCTGGTGGATTGCCATGACCCCAGCATCTGGGGCCTGGCAGTTGGGCCCGCAAAGCCTCCAGTGCCCTGCTGGGGTGAGGGCTTCTGGCCTCTAGGGCTCAGGGTGCTGGCTGGAGCCAGATGGTGCACAGTGTGGCCACGGGCCAGGGTGTCATCCCTGCTCTCGCTGTTCTTCTGGCCCACGGAAACACACAAGGCCCAGGTGATCTACAGAGTTTATCACTCAGGCACTGGGAATAACGGCCTTTGGGGGACACTGTAAAAACCTGGAACAGACAAGACCATTTTGCAGCCTTCGACGTTCTCAAATGGCCCTTTTTGCTCTGTGCCCAGTTGATACCCTTCCATTGTGCCGGGAGCCTGCAGCGGATGACGAGCTGGGGTTTTTTGCAGGCTCTTCTCGTGGGGGCTGGTTGTATCTGATGGGCCTGGACCCCTTTCTCGTGGAGATGCTCGTGCCTTGTGCTAAGGTGCACAAGGTGGATCGGCCAGGCGCGCGAGGTCGTCGGCCCCTGTGAGGTCTGCTCCGAGGCAAGGGTCTCAGCTGGAGAGGGGAGCCCTCAGCTCAGGGCAGGACAGAGGTGCTGGGGTGCCATGTAGAGGCCAGGGTAACTGCATGTGACCAGCTCTGCAGGTGAGCAGGGCCATGTCATGTTCGAGAAACCGTGCCCTGTCCGTCCATGGGGTTCCCTCTCTGGCGCTCGTGTCCCAGCGTTGCTCAGAGCTCATGTGATCCTCGAGGGCGCCTCTCAGAAGGGCTGGGAGCCTGCTATGGGCAGGCCCTGGCTTGGGGTCCAGGAGGAGACGGACAGCACCATCCAGTGACTGGACCAGGCAGACCTTGTTGAGTACTGGGTCCTCTGCTAGAGGGCTAGAGCTGTGCCAGGCGGTCGTGTCTGCCCCCCACTCACAGGCCTGGGGACCTCACTTAGCGAACACGGGCGCCCTCTAGGAGGCCCGGCCCCAGGCCTGGTGGTGCTGGCTGGGGAGCAGAAAGTTAGCCAGGAGTACCCAGTGCCCGCCTGAGGGATGCAGGAAGCCTCCCAGAGGCGGCGGACCCACAGCCCCGGGCTCGTTCTTACCTCCAGCCCGGGGCCTGCCACGTCTCCGGGCCCCGCTGCCAGGCGCAGCGCCGCCCCTCCCGCCGCCCCACGCCAGCCCTGCACAGGCCACATCTGCTGCTGCAGCCCGAGCCAGAGCTCCACCTCCCGGGCTCCGTCCCCATGGAAACCGCTGGGGGGGGGGGGTTCCTGCTGCATTTGGCCCGCTGACTGGTTTCCATTAGAGCCAGCCTGCTTTCCTTGAGCTCTGCCCCCGAAGTTCAAGGCTCCCCCTGCCCCGAGGTTTCTTTTGCATGTACTGCGCACCAGCCTTCCGGGCCACGGGGCCGGGAGCACCTGGGTGGAGCGAGGGCCCTAGGGGCCTGCGTTGCCCCGAGCCCAGGGGCTGGCCCAGGGCCGTGACTGCTCTTACCTTAACCCCACTGTGGGCTCAGACCCCGGCCCTTCTCCCCCAGAATGAGCAGCTGCTGAGGGGCGCCCCCAGCTCCATTCCGGCTGGGCCATAGAATCACTGGGGGGGGGGTGCTTTCGGTAAGCCCCTTCCTCTGTCTGGGCCTCAGTTTACCCATCTGCAGAATGAGAGGGATGCACGGCTTCTCCAGGTGCTTGCCGTGCCAAACAGGACAGGACAAAACAGAAAATGCAGCTGAGGCAAAGCCAAATCTCTCAGGTTCACAGTGCTGGGATTTTTGTTTGTTTTCAAAGAGGGATTTTTTTTTTTTTTTTTTTAAGGGAAGGAGTCCTGGAATTTGACCGGAGATGGCTGTCGGAGAGCCAGTTGGAGCCCGTGGGCCCAGGGCTTGGGAAGGCCCGGGCAGCTGTGCCCGCAGGCCCCACCTGGCATCTGTGGGGTGCCCAGCGCCCTGGCTGTGATTCGGTGAGCAGAGGCATGAAACGTGCCCGTGACAGGATCCAGAGGGCTCTGGAAAACTACCCAAGAGGCTTCCGGAGGTCAGAAATGTGGGCAGAAAATGAGATCCAGATTTAAAAAAACCCGGCTGGCTCATCCCCCTGGGAGGGAGGCCTGGGAGAGCCTTGCGGCTTGTTGACTTTGAAATGCTTGCCCAGGGCTGGTCTACAGCAGCGGCCCCTGGCCCCAGCCTGATGCCCTGGCCGAGGTGCTGCCCTCCCTCCACCTCTGAGGAGGTGGGAGTTTTACTGGAGATGACGGGGGACCCTTTGAGGGCTCATGCACGACCTGCCTTCTGCTGGGCCCTGCCATTGCCCTACGGGGGCCCTTTCCAGCTTACATGCAAGGAGCAGAACCTCGGGAGTGGCAGGCCTTCGGGCAGATTGCTTTCCTCCCTGGGCCTCAGTGTTCTCATCTGTGAAATGGGGAGAGTAACACAGGCCTGCAGGCACGTGGGAATTAGGTGAGATTTGGGGTTGGGCTGGACAAACGGTAGATGGTGGCGTCAGAACCGCTCCCACGGCAGAATCCTCACCACGAACGAAACAGGCTGCACCTTCCAGGTTGCCCCAGACTCTGGCGGGGTGACGCTGGCCCAGCCTGGCCCCAGGGAAGGCTGTTTGTCAAGGTCACCTGGAACGGCTGCTGAAAAGCCCAGGGTAGCCGGTGCAGTGGCATTTCCTCTTCTTCATCTGGGACCCCACTCAACCTCGGGCCTGCGTCCCGGGGAAGCCCACCGCCCCCCGGGTTCGCCGACAGATCCCGGGGGCGGGAAGCGGCAGCCGACAGACACCAGACACCGGGGACATGCTCGCCGCCACAGCTCGAAGGACGGGCGCGGTGGCATTTTCAGCTTTCTGCCCTGGGCGGGGAGGGAACTTGGGTTTGAGCGATGGCTCCTTCTTGCCTTCCAGTCCACCCTCCCCAGTGAAAGTAGGCCGAGGGAGCTGGCTCAGACGAGTAGGTGGTGACGTGGCCCAGGTTGATTTAGACATGCGGGGAGACCGGGGTAATGTAGGAAATGAAGGAAATTTCCCCAGGGAAAGGGGGAAGAGAATAAAGAGGAGCTTAAGTGCCCAGATAATTATAAAGCCTGGCGTGGTGATTTATGGCGGGCAGGCCGGCTCCTCCGGTCTCCACCGCCCCTCCTGTCTCGGTCCCCCTGTGCCCCCAGAGACCCGCTGGTGGGGGAGGTCGTGAGGCCAGCGGGCGCCGCCCAGCACCCGAGCTCTGCTTTGTGTCCTGGGGACAGAGCCCCTCTGTGTGCCGAGCCCTGACGTCTGCTATCTGGGGCAGCCTTGCGGGACACTGACAGGCTGCCAGCCGGGAGGCTGAGCCCCCCGCACAGATTCTTCACGGACGAGCCCCAGCCAGACTGGCCGGCCCATTAGAATGCTGATGGTCAGGGTGGAGGCAGCACCTCTCATTCTTGGTGCCCCAGAAGGGGGGGCCGGGGCCATGGCGTCAGGCAGAAGTAAGGAGGCGCGTTTCTCTGGCTTGGGATCGGGGTGCGCTCTAAAACGAAATGAGGACGCGGCTCGCCACGTTGGCCAGGGCGCAAGAGAGGCCGTGGCTGGCCGCGGTGGGCCGCCTGGACACTGCGCCGTTTGGGGCCCGACTGTGGGCAGCCCCTGCTAGGGGATTTCCTCCACTATGACCACAGCTGTCCCCTCCCGCCCCCCTATAATTCCTGGGGGCTGTCCCCCAGCTGCTGACCTGAGGGTCATCGCTGGCCCCCCTCCCTGCCGCCCCCCTCCTCAGCATGTCCGAGTCTCGCCCATCCAGGGACGTGTGACCACCACGCAAACCTCTGCCCTGACCTCCACCCTGTGGGGCTCCCGTCCAGCTCCAGGCGGAAGTCCAGTCTCCCCTTCCTGGGGCTCGAGAGGCTCCCAACAGCCTGCTCTGCCCCCTGCATGTTGCCATCCTCCCACTTCTCTAGACTGCAGCCCAGCATCACCTCCTCCTGGAGGCCCTCCCTGCTCCCCACCTGCCCACGGCTCAGTTCACGGCACGTGTCTGCCCTGGAAGACTGAGCATCTCCAGAAGGACCGGCCAGAATCACCAGCCTGGCCCAGGGCGGGCTCTTGGGGGAATGTTTCATGAATGAATGAAACAGAATCCCAAGGCTGAAACAGAAGAAGGGAAGGCTGTGAACCTTGCACTCAGTGCGGCGGCCTGCGCCACCAGGCTGGCCACGTCACCTGGCCATGATGCTCGGAGAAACAAGGGGACAGAGCTTACTTTATTACCTCCACCAATATGTTCCCTTTTAGGACTAACCCGAGGGGCTTGTGAGCCCACCTCATCGGGGACAGCGTGGCAGTGCCCGATGGACAGGCCTGAGCCCTGAGCATCTGCGGCCCACGGACAGAGGACGCCAGGTAACTCCAGGCCACGGGAAAACCATGGCTGCTGCTTTGGGGCTGGGGTTCGGTTGGGAAGACCAGCTGTGAGAGGTGCCTTGGAAGGCTCTGGGGCCTTTTCCCCTCAGCTCAGTGGGTGTGAAAGGTGGACTCTCTCGGCCCATCCGATGTCATTGGTGAATAGTGGCACATTCTGTTAATTTAGGTCAGACATTTCCTGTTCATGAACTTTCTGCACGGCCCTGCTACCATGTTGTGGCTTATGGGGGTCCTCCTCCTCCAGCAAGTCCTCACAAACTCCAAAGCCCTCTTGCTTCCCGTCCCCTGGCAGTGGGCTGCCCAGCCCCTCTGTAGCACCCACCACACCCCTCTTCTCTCCCGTCGTTCATCTTCACGGGTTTGTGATGGACAAGTCTGAGGCAGCTTCCACTGAGGCCTTTTGAAAAGTGTGCTCGGGGCGATGACGCCTGACCAGCGGGCAGGGGCCTCGGTCCCTCCCCGGCTCTGCCGTTGGCCTGCTGTGTGATCTCGGCCCACTCCCTCCCCAACTCTGAGCCTCCATTTCCCCACCTCCGACATTTGGTGGGTCTCCGGAAGGTTCCGAGGGACCAGCTTGGGGCGGCTGCCTCAGGTGTGTGAAAGTGCTCCTGGGCTTTGAGCGGGGTCTCCCCTGGGAAAGGGGAAAGAGCTATGCATAAAGCCAGAAGTGCGCATCCTAATGTATCTCCGGAGGAGAGCAACGAGGCGGCCGGCCGCTGTCCGGGGTGGGGTGTCTGGGTCAGATACTTGTGACAAAGCTGTCTGACGGGATATTGCATGGCCGCTCAGCGGACACGGCCGGTGGGGGCCACGGAAGTCTGTGGCCAGCCGCCGTGGTGCGTGTGGGAGCCCCTCCTGGGAGGGGAGTCTGCCGCGGGCTGGGCTCAGCAGAGGGGGACTGTTGGCTGCCTTTTTCTCCTTTTCTCGTTTGTCCGGACCTTGCTGAATGAGGAAAAACTCCTTTAAATCACAAAACTAACCACCCAGCCAGAGTGACCCTGACCCACCCAAATCCTCACTGCACGTTCTCCCCCCAGAAGGAGAGCCGTTGGCGGAAGGCGCGGGGTGTTGCCCTGAGGGCAGCACCATCACCAGGGCGCGTCTGGGCCCTTTAAAAGGAGCAGAGGAGATGTGGGGGGCAAAGGGGACCCCTGAGAGTGGGGAGCACATTGAGGCCCCTCCGGGCCGATGGTGGGGGTGATGCTGCCACTTTGGGGCCGGGCCCACCGTGATGTCTCCATTCGCGTCCCAAGTGTTGGGAGTCTGATGTCTAGAGGTGATGTCCGTCCATGGAGACCAGGAGCCCTGTTGTCAGTTGGCGCTGGGGCCTGTTCCTTTGCTGTTAGAGGTATGGACGTCCCTTGTGGTGCCCCCCGACCTGGTAGGGCTCAAGGCGGGTGTGTGAACGGACGCACCTCTGGCCACCGGTGACGCGCTTTTCTGGCCCTGAGTTGGTAACTTGCATGGCGTCGGCCACTGGCTGTCGAGAGCACCTACTGTGTGTGCGGGCCAAGCCGGTGGGAGTGTGTTCATTTTTGTGTTCATGATGTCAGCTTTGTCCAGTAGGTGAGAATGGCTGCTTCTTGATACAAAACTGGGGCTCAGAGAGGCCAGGGTCCTGAAGGCCACTCAACCCAGGAGATTCTCTTCAGCCTGGGCTCTGCAGCCTAGGCTCCTGCCCGGGGCTGGTGGCCCTGCCACTGGATGTTGCGTCCTTGGGGATTTGAACTGGCCTGTGCCTATCATGTCAGCTGCTCCCCAAGTCCCGGCTCCTTGAGTCCCTGCTGGGGCCGTGTTGACCCAAATGAAGCAGCCGAGCTGGGGATGCACCCCTGGCTTGTGCATCTGGCACTCTGGCTGGAGGACGTGGCTGCCCACAAGCTCACGGCCTACTGCTGATGCCTCCCGACCCGTCTTGGGTACCTGAGGCCTTGGGTGTCCGACAGAGCACGACCCCAGGGCCAGGCCTCGGTCCTCCGCAGGGCATTTCTGCACATAAATCGAGGGTGAGCTCTGTGCATGATTCATTAGCAACTGGCTCTTTCCAGTTTGTAGGACGTTTCTCCCACACATGACCTTGGAGAAGGCCAAGTTTAATGCCGAAGAGAAGTCTAGACAAGGCAGGCGGAGTGCTCTGGGGGTCCATGCTCCCATGGCTCTGGGTCCTGAAGCTTGGCCAACATCAGGGTTCCTACTGAGGGCTCCGAGCTCCTGCCCCACGATGTCCACTCATACCCCAGGCCCCGGAGACTTAGTCCCTGGTAAGATAAGAGGTAGAGGAGGAATTTCTCCAGGATAAAGGCCCAGGGTGGGTTCTTACACGTCCTCAGAGTACCCCAGGGAGGCGGCAGTGGGCGTGCAGTCCAGTGAGCCTCATGTGGCCTGCGTGTGCAGCGGGTATCAACTCTAACCTTGCGTGTAAATTTGAGGAGGTAGGTGTCACCGTCCCGGTGTAACAGACTGGGAGCCTGAGGCCCCGGTGGAGGGGCTTGTCCAGAGCTGAAATGGGACCTCAGTGGCCCCTGGACTACCCTGCAGATAGGCACAGGAATATTGTGGAGACCAGGCTACTCGTGGGCCTGGGCAAGGTGGGGATTGAGCTCTGAGACATCCTGCCGGGGCCCAGGGTTGGTTCTGACCATTGAAACACCAGCCTCATTGTGCCAAAGCCTTCCAGAGGACAGAACTGCATGGGCGGGGGCGGTACGGGGAAGCTGCCAAGATGGCCCGGGCTGACCCTGTCGTCCAAGTGACCACACCGTGGGGCACGGACTCTGAGAGGGAGCGGGGGCCCAGCCCTGAGAGCAGTGGTAGGCATCATCGTGAGCCAGCCCTGCGCTTGGGACGTGGACTTTTGTCACCGGCAGTGCCCACCACAGCTCTGGGAGGCCAGGCACACATGAGATGCACATCACAGGAGGGAAGGCAGGAGAGGGCGGTCTTGTGCCTGGAGCCCGCACAGCAAGCAGAGGCCGTGGGTCTGGCCAGCTTCCCGTGCTTCCCCCAGCCTGCCTCGTGACCTCTGGGACGCGGGGGCCCAAGTTCATTAGTGACCCTGAGACGGGCCCCGGCCTCCCTTCCCACCCCCACACCATGTGGGCTGGCCTCTTGAGGGAGGACAGCTGCAGGAGGCTCAGGCAGCCCCAACAGGGGACGACGCACTCACAGGATCTGGAAGGGCTCTGAGGGCAGGCCACGCGATGGTTGTGTGGCTCAGCACGCAGCGACTGGAAGGAGGCAGAGTGAATGCCTCTGTGCACCAGTGCCCAGTGGACACTTAACCTGGCTGTTCTGTGCCGTCACCAGGAGAGTGGGCGCAAGGATATGGGAGCAACAGAGTGTCCCGGGGGAGAGCATTCTCTCAGTGCTGCTCTGAAGTTGGAAGGGGCATCCGGGCTTCACATCACCCACCCTGGGCAGCCGTCCTTGTGAGTTTTCAGCCACGGCCACGTGTGGCTCCTGTGTCGTACAGGAATTGGGCCAGGATCCCAGAGCCAAGCCTGTTCCCGCAGCTGAAGCTCTGCTCACCTGTCAGGACAGAATTTCCACACCCCTGTGTCCAGAGCAGGCACGGGGTGGCCTTGTCCTGTTTTCACCTCCTCCGGCTCCCCGGAAGCCTGATCTCTGCTGACATCGACTAGTGATATTGAATAGGGCTGTTTATGCACAAAGGGGGCCTCGCCTGCCGGGCCTGTGGGTACCACAGTGTGCGGCCCATGGAAGCGGTCCTCTGTGAGCCCCAACCAGGCTGTGTTCTCGGTCCAGAGGGAGGAGTGGGTGCGTGCTCCATTGGCTCCCCTGTGCTGTTTTGGGGTTCTTTCCTAGGCGAGCCCCAGGGCGCTGTCTCATCAGCTCCAGGTTGGGGTATCAGAGATACCCCAGCTCGAGGGACTTCCTAACCTGCCCATCTTACAGGCGCAGGCAGATGGGCCCGGGGTCCTTAAACAGCGGTGCATGCCGGGGCTCCATCCTGCTGGGAGGAGAGGCAGGGAGGGCATCCTGGCCGGCGAGGCAAGGGCTGTGCTGCCTCAGGGCGGTCCCATCTCGGGGGTGCTCCCCCCCTATAAAACAGGGCAGTGAGGTGCTGCAGCCCAGAAGCCCCATCCTGCAGCTAGGGAAACTAAGGCTAAGAGAGGCTCTAGGCCAGGAGAGATAGGGAAACAGGATTAGAACCCAGAGCTGGCTGACTCGTGGTCCTGAGTCCATGCTGCGTGCAGAGGGCATCGGGCTCACAAATTCCTGTAGGTCCCCAGCTTCAGGGGTGGTGTTGGGGTTCCACCCAACATTTTAGGGCTGGGAGTCCAAGCACAGCCTTGGAAGCCCACCAGCAGGTCCCCTCCGGCCTCTGAGGGCCTTATGAGTCCCATGATCCCCACTGTCAGGGGCCTGTGCCTGAGGGGGAGGGCTACAAGCCAATTAGTGGCAACTGGTCACTCTTGGCCCCAGTGGCTCCTGCTCTGGGTGGGACCTGCTCAGTGATGGGGTCTGGGGAAGGTTGCACTTCTGGGGGGACAGAGCAGCCTCATTCTTGCACTGGGGGGCCTGTGGGAGCCTCCCAGCTTGTGTGGGCATGTTCCGGAAGCTGGGAATACTCAGAAAGGGCAGGGGAGGAGGGTGTGGAAGCTGGAACCCTGCCATCCTGTCCACCCACTCACACTCAGCCTGGGGCAGAGGCAGAGTGGCTCTGGCTGAGGCCCAGCCCGGCTCCTCTCTGTGATGAGTTGGGCCTGGGTCTGCCGTTCCGTCCTCACGGACAGAGAGCCAGCCCTGCTTTGGGGGAGCCTGGACCCCGGATGCAAGCCTGAGCTGGAGGCGGGGCAGGGGCAAGAGCCTGGCCTCTGTCTGAGTCACCCTGGGCCGAGTGCTCTCAGGGCCCCCCCAGGTCCTAGTGTCCTGCTCAGTTGGTCCTGGGGTGTCCTCTGACGGGCTCATTGGGAAAAGACCACAGTCAGGTCTACACTCTCTGGGTCCCAGATAGACACATCATTCCAAGAGCGGGGGCACTTCCCCGTCATCCCGGGCGCTGTGCTGAGCCAGGGTGCCCCCAGCTGCATAGGAGCTGGTCTGTGCCGCAGACCTGCCAGCCCTGGGGGGATAGGCAGTACAGAATCTGTGAGCTGATTTCAGGGGACCCCCAGCCTCCTACTAGAGCTGGGGAGAGACTGTCTCAGGCGGCATCCCCGCAAGGGTGGAAGATATGCATGGCTGGGCCGCAAGGAAGCCAGTGGTTGGGGTTTGGTTTTGGGTGGGAGTCCAGACCAGGGCTGGGAGTCGGGGGGTCGGACAAGGCTTCCCTTGCCGTCTGTAACCTCTGGGCACTTGGGCGCCTTGCCCGCTGTGAGTTGTGGGCTGCCATCTGCGGTGGTTGTGTGGGGTAAATGAGAGGCAGGGGATGGTCACACTGAGCCCCCTCCCGTTTTCGGGGTCATGTGCCACCAGGCCTGCCCAGCTGATTCCTTGGTCACCTTGCGTCTTTCAGAACATGACTCATCCCAGAGCACCCCCAAGGAAGCGGGACCTATCGTGGCCTTTGGGAGACATTCCAGGACCGCAGAGCCCAGGTAGATGGTCTTTGCCCTGGGCCAGGGCAGGGAGGCAGCCCGGGAGGTGGGCGGCCTGGCCAGGAAGGGAACGTGAGCCCATCTTTCAGAAGAGCCCAGCACCAGCCCCTCAGGCCCCAGCTGGCAGCCAGGCCCACCCTTCCTGAGGGATTCAGCCTGGTCCCTGGCAGGCGGCTGAGGTCCCACTCCAGGACCAGGAGTGAGGTGCAGGGCAAGGGTTACCTGGCCTGCCATGGTCCTTTGCCTCTCCCTGAGTCCTCGGCCTGCCCTGCAGCCTGAGGACTCTGATTCGCCTCCTCGAAACAGATGGAATCAGGGAGGGCTGGGAGGGCTGAGTTGTTGGCACAGAGACTCTGCTGAGTGAGCTCCGAGTCACAGCCACCTACCTACGTGGTGCCAAGTGATGGGCACGCCCAGCCCCCCAGCTGCGAGCCACCCTCCTGGACATGCTTCTTCAGAGCCTCAGTCTCCTCATCCAGAAGGCCGGGGCAGGAGTGGCTCCTGGTGGAGTGTTGGGGACGCACCGTGAATCCCAGAGCACGTGTGGCTTCCGTGAGAGGCCCAGGGGACCGGACACAAGTCTTTGCACACAGTGGGCCCCCAAGAAGCACAGTGCTTTATACTTCACTGAGAGCAGACAGCTCTCCAGGTGTTTGGGCCACCCTGGCACTCTTCTCGCTGCTCTCCTCGCTGGAGCTCAGCGGGGTCTAGTTCCCTACACCCGTTATTTCAGGTTTTACGTGTGCTGGTGCTAATATGCGAGATGAGACGGTAGGTCGAGGCAGCGCGGGGCCTGGTGTGGCCAGGGGCCTTGTCGGCAGCATCTCTGAGGCAGACAGGAGGGCTTCCGCCCCCCAGGAACCCAGGCCTGCTGTGGCCATGGGTGAGTTTCACAGCCTTGGGGAGACTGCCAAGTGGGGAGAGGTCTCCACCCCGACCTCCAGATCCGAGCAGCTCTGTGTGGTGGTCTGGGTCTGTTTGCACAGCCACAGGACAGGGAGCCTACCTGCCCACGGCAGGTGCTGTGGGGGGCCTGCCAGAGGTCCGGCCTGGTTCTATTCCAGAGCCCGAGGCTCTCTGTCAGTGTCCCGGGGCAGCGCCTCCATACCCAAGTCGGCCTGGGGGCGGCCACTACCCTGAGGGCTCATGGGAATGGCCACGCCATGGCAGGGGACTGAGCCCCAAGACCCAGATCAAACCCCCTGGGTCCCACAACTACGTGGCTTTCACTGCTGTGTGGTCTTGGGGAGGCCATGGCCTCTCCCCGGGATTCTGTTTCTCATTTGCAAAAGGGGCGTCCAGACCTCTTCCTACGTACTCCCCCCCCCCCCCCCCCAGGTACCAATAAGAGCAGAACAGGGAGCCTCTTCTGGCCAAGAAATGGGGGGGGTGTCTGGCTTGGGATCAGTCCTAACCCACTACTTGGAAAGATGAAGCCTACACACGCAGCTGCCCCTGATCATACGGGCAGAGCGGGAACTAAGGGGTTATATGTTACCTATATGTCTTGCCGTGTAAATAAATAAATGTAAACATAAAAAATACGTATGTTTATATTGATATTAAAGCTTAGAGCAACACAGACAATGCAGAAAGACAAAAGTAAATAGGAAATTAGGGCAAAGGCAGAATCGAAGGTAGGCCTAAAAGAAGCCACATCACGTAGAAGTCTCTGGTTGCTGGTAATGACTTGTAAATTCAGCTCTGAGCCTCCTCGCGGCCAAAGCAAAGAGGAAAGGCTGTCCCTTGCAGGAAGTGGCATTCGGGGCATACCGTTGGCAGCGCTGACGGGACGCCCCGAAGCCCTGGGCGAGGGTGGGGGGTGGGCACTCCCTGACGCTCGGCACAGCTGTGTTCCTCTCATCCTGCTGAACCCTTCCCGCACTGAGTCATCTGATTTTCCCCAGCCCTTCAAACCCCAGTGGAGAGAGGCAGCGAGGGGCCCCGGCCAAGCTGTCAGGCCTTGCTGAGTCCGATTTTGAACGTGCGTCTCTCTGGCCCCGGGGCCACGCACCTGCAGGTGTACCTGCCCTGGCCGCTGCCCCCTGGAGACGGGTGCCCCCGAGGATCGGGGGGTCATTCCCAGGGTTTGGGACACAAAGTCGCACTGAAGCGGCACTGTCAAGGCCCTTGCGGCCCTTGAGGTGGCCTCCCAGGCTGTCAGGGCAGGTGGGCCGGGGCTGGAGGTACAGATGCGGGTCGGGGCCCGCACACCTGCGTGCCTGGGCTCTCCTTCCCGAGACTTACACAGCATCTCTCTCCTTCCAGGACTCACGCCTTCTTCCTGCCTCCTCGTTCTGCAGGTGACCCCTGCAACTCTGCCTCCCTCAGGTCAGTGCCGCGTTTTGAACCTTGAAAGTCAGGGCTCCCCCCTCCCCTCAGGTACCACCCTGGTCTGGGCCTGTCTGAAGTGGGACACGCACACACACGCACACACACGGCTTGTGGAGGACTGAGGAGCTGGGCGGGCTCAGCTGGGTCTGCTCCTGCCTCAGCCCTGACCTGCCACTGGCCTCTTTCTGTGCCCGAGGGACCAAGGTCTGCCAGAAGTCAGGGGCTTGCCCAGGTCTCTTGCCCCAGGAAGCTGGACTCGGGCCCATCTTTCTGGCTCCCTTCCGCACAGAAGTTGAGTGAAGCTCCTTCTGCAAGGAGCCATCTGTCTCGGGGGTCCGTGGTGGGAGGGCTTGGGCCAGCTGCTGGGGACGGTCCGAAGTGTCTGTGGAGTGGCCAGAGCTCAGGGGCTCAGCAGGTGAGAAGGTCCTCGGCCCGCCGCTCCCTAGCCCAGCCACCCTGTGGCCCTGGCGGGAGCCGGTCATGCCCAGAACACTCCTTGCCCACACCCTGCTCCTCCCCTGAGAGCCGGCCCACAGGGCAGGCTGTAGGGCCCACTTGGCTGAGTCTGGCCTCCTGGGGAGTCCGCGGGGCCGTGTGGGCCAGACAGGCGCCACCCCCCCTCCCCCGCTGTTGCCATGGCCAGGGGCAGGCCTGCCTCCCAGGTCCATGTGGAGAGGACCCCAGGCTGTTGTGTCTGGGCTCAGGAACCCTCTGCCATCTGGGGCCCGTGTGTTCACAGGTCCAGCTTGCCCGCAAGACTCTGCAGACATTGCCCCCAGGGCTTTTGTGTCTGCGCGCGGAGCGTGCGCCAGCCGGTGCCCGTGGTGGGGTGGAACATGGGTGGGGAGAGGGGGAGGCCCCCAGAGGACGTGGGGCAGAGGGGAAGGGGGACCTGGAGGGGGGATAACAGAGGAAGGGGACGAACAGAGTGGAGGCAGAGAGAAAGCAGGGCAGGGCACGGGGAGAGAGGAGACACAGAGCAGAGCGACGGGAAGCTGTGGGGAGCTGTCGCTGGGGAAACGGGGCCTGAGGGTGCAGCTGGTCCCAGATGTCCCCAGGGCCTGCTGGGCTCTGCCCAAGGCCATCTAGTCCAGGTGCTTTCCTGGGCATCCACTGTGAAATCCCCCAGCGTCCCACTGGCAGCTGTGGTAGCCTCCGGGGTCCCCATGAAACCCACGCCCTCGGAGGTACGTTCCTCATGCAGGCTCGGGCACCAGAACGTGTACCTGGGTCCTGTGACCCCAAGCCCTGACAGACATGCAGGGAGCCACAAGGGTGTGTCCCCAGGAACACAGGCGGAGGTCCAAGGAGGCAGGGCCAGCCCACCTGGGAGGCCAGAAGGGCTCCTGGGCCAGGGCGGTGGGGCCCATGCACAGCAGCTGAGACCCAGGACATGTGGGGAATGACCTGGGTGGAGAAGGACAGGCCTGGGGGAGTGGGCTCTCTCAGGGCAGGACCCGTATTCCCCCATACTGTGCAGTGGACGGAATGCACGCAGGCCAATGCATGCAGTCGGTGCTTATTCTATGCTCATCCTGAGCCTGAGTAGTCACCAGGATGACCATACAGCCGTCGGGGCAGGGGTGAGGACATGTTCAGGGCCAGAGGGGAGGGCCTCCCCTCTTGCGTGCGCACACGCCCTCCTGCAGCCCCAGGACTACCAGCAAGGTGGGGCTCATCATCTCCATTCTGTTCTGCTAGAAATGGAGGCTGGGGGCTGGGAAGAGCTCAACTCTGGCCTCACCTGTGGTCCAAGAGCTGCCTTTAGGATGCTGAGCTGGGAGGTGCCAAAGGTTTATGGGGGACAGTGACTCGGTTGGTGGGATTTGTTCTTGAACTGACTCGGTATTGTTCTCCCTGAAGTCTGCCCAGACTTGGCCCAGGATGGGGAGAAGTCTGGGCACGGGAGGCTCCCTCCGTCTCTAGTGCCTTCCCCCGCACTGAGCCCCTGGTGCCTCCCCCACACCCAGTACGGGCAGGAGCCACGCACCTCTGCTCAGCACCCAGCTCTGGCTTGTTCCCTGAAGGGACTTGGCCCTGCCCTGCCCCAGAACCCTGGGTTCCTGCGGACAGACGGGCTGCCCTCTTCTTCAGAAGTTGGTGCGGACGGGCCTGACACCGCAGGGAGAACCATGCTGAGGAACCACTCTGCCTGCTCGAGGGCCGGCCCGTGTCTGGTGCCCACGGCCGAGGAGGCGCAGAAATTTATTCTAATGCTAAATGTCCAGATAGCCTTTGTTTACCCAGATAGAAATTAGGGCCTTAAAAATACCTCGCATTTGATCTTCTGGTCCCAGTACAAATATTGACAAAATGCAGAATGACGGGCTTCCTTCAGTGCTTACTTCTCGGTTCTGAGCAGCGCTCTGGCTGGGGGTGGTTAACCCTGAAGCGGAGGAGAGATGTGACGAGAAAACCCTCTGGGGACGGGTTGCAAGGAGAGCCTGCCCTGTGAGCTGCATCGGACAAAGCCACTTTCGATTCGGGTCCCGTTACTGTGCCAGGCCCTGAGCTGGACGCCCCTCCCATAAGAGCCATCGCTGTTGCTGACAGCCCTGCTGGGTGGGTGCCGTGGGGGGCAGAGGCTCGGGGAGGTCCAGGGGCCAGCCCCAGAGACCACCAAGCAACCAGCAGCAGCAGAGCAGGGGCCTGGCCCCAGCCGGCTTAGACGTAGAACTGCTTCTGGATTCCAGGGCCGTGTGGCCTCGCTGAGGGGTCAGTCTACGGGATCCTAAGAGACCGTCTCCCCGGGTTGCGGGCAGGAGGCTGGGGACAGGGCCTCCAGCTCAGGCCCTCCGTGCAGTGGTGCCCAGGGTGAGCTAGAGGGTTCTTCCCGCTGGAGTGAAAGCAAGCGGCTCCCAGACCCAGTGCAGCTGGGAATGCCCGGGGCTGCTCTCTGGGCTCCGCGGTCTGGGCTCGGTGGGGTGCTTGGCCTCAGACATCTCCCTGGTTGGAGGCCTTGTTGCCCAGTTGTTACGGAGCCGGAAGGCCAACAGGCCAGCTGTGGTGGGAGAACACAGGCTCGCACTCTGCTCAGCAGCCGGAGGTCCCTGCCCCAGCACGGCTGCGTCTGAGCTGCTCTTCTCCAAGAACACCATACCCACCGAGCCTGGCCGGCCTTGGAGGACTGGGAAGCCAGAACACCCCTGTTGTCACCTTGCGGAAGAGAAAGTGAGTGTCTCAGACATGGGGCTTCCTGGGGTCGCCTAGTACAGAGGGGTCTGGTCCTCCTTAGCAGCGGCGTGACCTGGCTCGGTAAATGGAGACGTCTGTGGGTTTCTGTTCACTCGTGCCTAAAACACAGGGGAGGAGGGGGACGCCTGTCTTGGCTGTGTGAGTGTGGGCAAGTACCTTAGCCTCTCTGTGCTCCTTCCTCCTTTGCGGATCAGGCTGTAATGGGGGCGGACGGGGGCACTCGCTGCGACGGACTCAGGTTGGTGCCTGGCGCGTGGCCGGTGTGGGGTGTTGGCGTTTGCCCCGTTTCCGACGGGGCGCATGTGCCCAGTGGTGGTGCACACGTTGGCAGCAACATTGGGCAAATGGGGATTTGAATGGGGGCTCTCGGGAGAGGTCCTCCGTGTCCTCCGTGAAGACAGCACCTTGTTCACGCTCGGCAGGTTGTCAGGACAACTGTGGTCGCACAAGCAACAGGGACCATGGCACCTGCCCTCCACACCGCCGCCATGGCAGCACCCCCCTGTAGGAGAGGCATGGGGCTTCCCTCCCAATCCCACTCCCCTGGTTCTTGACCCGGGCCCGGCCCCTGGCTCTGGATCAGCCCGTCCCCATCAGAGCGCAGGGCCCGGGCTCTGCCCCCCTGCGTCAGCCGCGTCTCCCCGTCCCAGTGCCCTTTGAGGGCCCCCCGCCGGCCTCAGTCAGAGCCACGGCACGGCGAGCCCCTGGGCCTCGGTCTGCTGGTCTTAGGTTTTCACTCTGCGCCGACAGGGCGGGGGGCCTGGGGCTGGCCCCGTGGCCCCCAGAGTAGTCCTGCTTGTCTCTGCCATACGTTTGGGGTTCTGCGTGAGACCTGGTAAAGATAGGGAGACCCCACGGGCAGGGCAGAGTCAGAAAGATGCGAGCTCTTGGGGTGTACCTGCTGCCTAGCAGGCTCTGCTCCAGAGAGGCTCTCGGTCCAGCAGGTATTTGCCGGGGCAGCTCCGTGTGCCCCCAGAGGGCCACAAACAAGGGGTTGGGCTGTCACCAGACAGACGCAGCTCGGGAGCCTCGGGGTGTGAGCTGTGGCCGGCTTGGGGCCCCCATGAGGCAGGTGCTGCAGGAGCTCGGTGGGGGGGGGACGCGGCCACACATCCACGGAGCTGGTCTTGCTGGTGTCGCCCTGGTGCTGCCCTGGCATGGCCTGTCCCTGTACCCGCCGGCAGTGGGCAGGGTGAAGCTGCCAGCCTGGACCCCGGCTGGGGTGGGCCGGGATGTCCCTGGAATGCAGGGCAGCCCTCGGGCCATCTGGTCAGAGGCCACCCCGCGCCAGGCAAGCAAAGACCAGCCTTTGAGGGTCGGGGGCAGAGGAGGATTTTCATCCAGAAGGAGCCCGGGCCTGGGAGGCCAGGAGCCTATATGTTCACGCCTGCCTCTCCATGTCACCGCCTCGAGCTGGGCCGCCCCCTCTGTAAGGCGGGAGGGCATCCTTGCCACTGCCCCGGGCAAGGGCTCGTCCCCAGGACCACCCAGAGCCCCTCGAAGGGGTGAGGGCGCCTCTGGCAGCTCAGGGAGGCCAGGGGCCCGGGCAGGAGGAAGAAGTTTCCAGAGAGGGCACCGCCTGCCCCCCTCTCTCTGGCCAGGCCCTCCTGGGCCTCCACACAGGACAGGCGGCCACGCTTCCAGAGTGGACATTCCTCCTTCCTGCCCCCGGCGGCCGGCTGCCTTTGTCTTCCTGGGGCTGCACAAAATGGCCGCTGCAGCCCTCCGCCATTTTGTGTGTGAGGCAGGCAGGCGAGCGGGTGGCCCGGCAGGGGAGGAGGGAGGGAGACCACTGCCCGCCCGCCTGCCCCGAGTGGCCTGGACGGAGCCCAGCACCAGCCCCCGCCCCAGCCCGGCCTTGGCCGCGGCTGCCCTGGGCTTGGCACCAGCTCACGTCTTGGCAAGGCCGTCCGGGAACCCCGGCCCTTCACCCAGCCTGGTCGGCCCCCTCGCCGCCCCCCAGACTTCCCTGACGAGCAGACGGAGATGCTGCGAAGCAGAGCCCAGAAGAGCTATAATTAAAGCCATGCTCCTGGAGGGAGTCCTTGGCAGCCACGGGGCCGGCATGGACGGTTCTAGAAATGACGCTTGCCCGAGTGGGTAGGGGTGGGCTCCCCAGACTCGCCATGACAGGGCCGGGTCTTTTCTAGGCCACGCTGGGGAGAGGAGCAGCATGCTCAGCTCTCCACTCACCATCCCACACCCTCACCTGCCTGGGGAGCCTCTGAGCTCCCTGGCTGGGCCTTGGGCTGGGCCCTGGGCTCCTGGTGGTTGGTCAGGTTTCCGGTCTGGACGCAGGTCCTGGCTGTCCTCAGGAAGCTGGGACAGGGGGCTTCCTGGAGGAGGTGAGGTCCGTGCCAAAAGACTAGGGTGCCGCTCTGCAGCCGGGCTTCCCATGGCGCCTGAGCCAGCTGAGATTCTTCATTGCACAAAGCTGGGCTGAGCCCATTCTGGCCCAGCCCAGGCCCTACACGGTCCTGTCTTCTGTGGGACCCACATCCCCTAGATCTCGGCTACCCTGAAGAGCATCTTTCCGGAGCTGGGAGCAACCGGGCATCAGGGGCCTCCTTCTGTGCCTCTTGCTCTGTGCTCAGCATTAACAAGCCCACGGCTCGGACAGTGCGCAGCGGATCAGGGGTAGCACATTACGGGGGGGACACGGTCACGCAAGAAGCAGGCTGCTCAGCATCCGGGGATTCTCGGCCGTGGGGCCTGGGGAGCCACACGGAGGAGACGCCAATGTCTCTGGAGCCAGCGCTGGGCCGTTTGCTGTGGGCCACCGTGCCACACCGGCCTCGGCAGGTGGAAGGGAGCAGCCAGCCTGCCAGGCATCAGCGCCTGCCCGCGGTGTCCAGCCATGAGGCCCTCAAAGGGCAGCGTACCTCCTAGAGGAACTGCATGGAAATGTCCTTGTACAGAAGCGGGGCGTGGTATTTGAGGCGAGTGCATTTTAAAGGGGCTGACGCTGTTTCTCAGGCAGCGTGGAGTAATGCCAGGCCGACCTGGGGGCCCGGCCCGACCTGTGTTCTCTGTGTGGCTGAGGGTCAGTCCCGCACTGTCAAGGGACAGACACCCAGATACAGCGCGTGTGTGGCAGGGTAGGGCCTCGGGAGCTGCATGAGGCCTTCCCCAGACATCTGTGGCCCAGCCAAGCCCTTCAGGCTGGGAGGGTTGCTGGACGCTGCCCCAAGGCCCTTCCCAGAAGCTCTCTCCTTGTGGTTCCCAGAGAGAACATTCCGTCACCATGAAGTGAGGTTTACTCATGCCCTGGCTTCCTCTGGGGAAAGCCTGTGGGACAGGATGGTGGCCACGCGCCAGGCCAGACCCAGTACCTCTTGGGGGACACAGAGCCCCACAGCAGAATGACTGTCTCGGAGGGGACTGTCCCAGCTGGGGCTGCCGCGGGGTGGGCTTTCGTGCTGGGCATTTTTAATGATAGGTGTGCATCCGGTCCCCTCCCTTACTCCTGCTCCTCACCTTGTGACCCAGACTGTAGGTTGAACGGAGAACCTTTCAGACAAATGTGCGCCTTTGAGGTTAACACTGTTGCCTAATGACTAACACCGCCTGGAGACACCCACAGGATCAGAGAGGGCTCTGCGTCCTTGCTTCTGCCTTTGGAGTCCAAGCAAACCCTGGAGTGGTGAAGACCCGCTCTCCCCACTGACACCCTTTCTCCGGGCACAGAGGCCCCTTGACCTTCTTCCGGAAGGCCCTGGCATCCTTGTCCCACTAGCCAGAGCGGGCAGCTGAGGCCAGAGGTGCTGACTTGCCCAAGGCTCATCACTGCCTGGAGCCAGAGCGGGGCTCAGAACCATGACCTGGTGGACCTCAGAGCCAGCTGGCCCCTCCTCCCCGTGCCAGTGGCCCCTGTGGATGCAGTGTGTCTGCAGAGCCGGCCAGCCCCCCTTGCCCAGCGCCTGCCCCCTGGCTTCCCAAGGGCTGCCAAATGTTACTTTTGTGGGCCTCCAAACTCCCACGTCCGTGGCGTTGACCGTCCAGCCTCCGCTGAGTGCCGGCTGCCTGCACCGTGTCCGCCTGCAGGTCTCAGGGCACAGGAAGGCAGGGAGCTAGAGCAGGACGCAGGCTTCTGAGGTGCCCATCTGGGGGGCGGGGGCTGCCTGACAGGGAGGGTGCGAACAAGCGAACGTTCCGGCGCCCGGAGACGGAAGGAGGGCTGGGGTCTGTGCAGACCCATGGGGCTGGGGTGGGGGCTCCTGTCTGGAGGTGCCTCTTCCCCACCTGCGAGGCTTGTGCCGCCCAGAGGGACGCGGGGCTGTGGAAAGAGCCTAGCGTCAGGGAAATTTGGATTCCAGACCCGGTTTTGCCGCTCCGTCTCCAGGGTGTGCTGTTGGGGGCGGTGAGGCCCCTGGGCCGTGCACTCCCTGGGCTGCCAGAGCCTGAGGCAAAAGGAGAAGTCAGTAAGCCGGTCCGCTCTGTCTGCGGGGTGGATGTTTGTATATCATGGACGGTTTTGCCTTCATTTTTAAGAATTTTACTTTAAAATATTTGCCTTGAATGCTGAGTTTGGTGTCCCAGAAGTGGCGTGGCCTAGGTGCGGGTCTGGCCGGCCTCCCCAATTCCCGGCCGTGGTGGGCACACGGCCCCCTGCCCCGGCCCAGGTTGATCAGACTGCCATCTCCTTAACTCGATGGGCCGTGTTTGCAGGGAGACCCACCCCCGCCCGGGCCCCCGGATGCCACCCCCGCGTCTTTTTCCCAGACTCCATTGTTGGCACGGCTTGCCGAGCAGAAACACTGGCCGCTTTATGGGGAGAAACCTAATCGGGGCGGCGCGGGGGGGCGGGTGGCCATGGGGGGGTTCCCGGCTCTCGGTGGCCCCGAGCCAAGCCCGAGGTGACTGCGGGGTGACACTGTCTGTCTGCCTCACTCGCTCCAGACATCCGCCCAGCCCTGAAAGGGCCACCTGCCCACGAAGGCCTCCCACACACCTGTCCCTGGCTGGCCTGGCTCCTCCCACCCGGCCCTGCCCAGCACCCTGCCCGCAGGCAGACGCCGCGGGACCGGGTGGGCTGGTGCTGGCAGCTGGCGGCTGGTGGGGCGACCGCCGATTGCTCACTGCCCAGCAGCCCTGCTCAGGGAGCCCCTTTCATGGTGCGTTGCCGGCCCCCCGCTGCCAGGCCTCATCCGGGCCGACTGGGAAGGGTCCCTCTGGTCTGTCTCAGGAGTCCGGCCGTCCCCCCAGGCCGAGGCCCATGGTGACCCCTGGGACTGTGGGGCAGGGAGGCCCAGCAGATCTCGGGAGAGAAGAATGCCATCACGGCTGCCGGGCACCTCTCCCCCCTGCCCCACCACCTGCCACAGGGCTGGCTCTTCCAGACAGGAGGCCTGGGGCCCCCGAGAGGACAGCTGGCCCCAGAGCTGGGGCAGAGCTGGGATTCCCCTGGGGGGCCTCTCTCGGCTTCCGGAGAGGCCCACACGGACAGGAGACAGGGCCCTCGTGGGCATGCAGCTAGAACAGCTGGGGGCGGGCGCCCCAGCAGAGGACAAACAAAGACAGATGGGCCGGGGAGGGTCAGAGGCGGCCTGCACTGGGCATTTTTCTGCTCCGGGAGGCTGGCCTAGGGGAGCCGGGACTGGGCAGGGACTGGGTGGGAAGAAGCAGAGGTGCGGGCCTGGGGGATCTGGCTCTGAGGGCAGCCTCTCGGGCTCAGCTTCCGTGCCCTCCAGGTGGTCGGCGGTCTGGCCGTGTGCTTGTCTCATATCTGTGTCCTCATATCTGTGTGCTCCCCTCCCTCATGCCAGTCCTGCCCGGTCATCCGGCTGGAATGGGCCAGAGCCAGGTGGGATGGTGAGCCGTCAAGCAAGCCCTGGCTGAGGCCTCAGGGCGGGTCTCGGGAGCCCCTTCCTCAGGATGTCTGCTCTCGGGAGGATCCCAGGCCTCGCCTGTCACGGGGCAGGAGCCTCAGCCTGGCCAGAGCCTCTTCTGTAAAGCGGGGACCTCAGCTCCTCCCTCTTGGGTCCCACCGACTTCAGGCCCCAGGGCGTCTGTGCGAGCCTGACATGGTGCTTGCCACCCAGCCCAGGAATGTCAGTAGCCCTGACCATTCAGCGATAAGGCCTGGGTCTCAGTGGTCTTTGAGCCAGAATTGTCCAGCTCAGGGTGGCCACAGAGGCCCCTCTCCGGGCCATTGCAGGGAGTGTGTCCCTGGCGAGAGGCTGCTCAGGGATGCGGATGCGCGGGCTGGCAGGGGGCGTCCGGGGAGGAGGCCCGGGGCAGTGGTCCGAGCTCTGGCATGGCTGCCTCTCTCCCAAACCTGACGCCTGTTACTCTTTTCCTGAATCCCGAACAGGTCAAGAAGCTTCTGTCCGTGGTGGGCCTTCCTCACAGCACGTGCGTGTTGGGGCAGGGCTCTGGGCCCGGGTGGGCTTCACCCCGCAGGGCCCCCCCTCCGCCCGCCCCGCGCTGGCCGGCCCAGCCTGAGCCTGTGGGAGCTCTCGCCCTGTCATCCCACAGGACACAGGCCTGCCGCCCCAGCCTCCGTGTGGGTGCGCACCCGGGTGCCTCGCAGGATGGCCTCCGGCACCCCTGCTCCCCCTCCTGCTGTCCTCACTCGAGGAGGGACGTGGTCAGAGCTGTGTCCCTCCCGTGCACCTCCAGGTCCTGCCATCAGGCGTGGGGGCCCTTAGATGGGGATCTGGTGGTCCCGCCGCCACACCTTTGCCCAGGGAGTACCTGCCCCCCGGCAGCCGCACCGCTCCTTCCTGTGGCTCTGCAGCATACTCCCTCAGCTGAGGCCCACGGTGCCCATGCTGCCCTCGTGACCCCGTCACCTTTCACGGTTCTCTCTGGCCTCCCCCGTGCCCGGACGTGGCCTGAAGGAGCCGTGGTCTGTTGCAGGGAGTCTGGATGGAAGAGGAGCGCTCAGCCCAGTCCCGCTCGGCACCACAAGGACTCGCCTGTCCCTGGGGCTCTTCGCCCGGTGCACCTGCTGCCCTTGGGCTCACCTTGCCTCGAGGGCCCTTGGGGGCCAGCAGTCCTGGAGGCAGCCCCTTCTCTCTGCCCAGCCGGGAACCAGCCTCGAGTGCAGCCCTAACGCACCCAGGCCACCTGTCATCCACCCGAGATGCCGCAAGGTGGGTCCAGCCTGAGCAGGAACAAAGGCCAAATGGAGGAAACCAAGTCATGTGGGCTTCTCCCAGGCCGGGCTGGAGGCCACGGGAGGGGGTGCTTGTGGGGACAGCCAGGGTGGACCAGGATGTGTGTCTCCCTTTGTCGCCCCGCCCCTGGGGTCCCAGCGCATGGGCTGGCCCGGTGTGCAGTCTCTGCCTCCCGGCTGGGGCTGCAACCAGAACCCTCCTGGGGTTAGCCCTGCAGGCTCAGGAGCTAAAGCCCGGGCCTAGGGGACGGCAGGGGGTGTCGGAGTCTGCGTAGTCCCACGCACGTGGATTCCAGCTCCGGCTAAGGGCGGCCTGGTGCTACCCAGACGCCCCGAGGGGCAGCTCCCGCACTGACCCCACATCTCCGTGAGGACGTCCAGGCCCGCAAGGGCGTAAGATGTGCCCAGGGATGCAAGCAAGGAGACCAGCCTGGTTTTGCAGCCAGGTCTGCCTGCTGGGCTCCCCTGCCTCGTGTCGCCCTTGGCCTGCAGGGGGCCAGCAGTCACCATCAGGGGTTCCCTACAGCCTGAGGCATTGGGGTCTCAGTGGCTAAGTCTAAAGCCCAGGGGCCGTGCTTAGGGCCCCTCCCCCAGAGTCCTTTGAGACATTCAGGGGGGGCCCTGGGCCGGGAGCCAGGTCCTTAGCCTCTTTTTCTCCCCAGCAACAGGAGGCTCACGGCAGCCAGTCACCCCACAGGGTCGGGTGGCCTCCAGGACGCCCAGGCCCCGTCCAAGGAGTGGTAGCTGCCCCTGCATATGGGGCTGCGCATGAGACCTCCCTCTGCAGGCCAGGGCAAGGCCAAGCCCAGCAGAGCCCAAGAGCAACCCCCCCAGCCCGGCAGGGGGCCAGGGACCCCCCCCCCCCCTTCCAGCCCACTAATCTCAGCCTATTTGCTCACTGTGGAGCGGGGTCAGTGCTCTCAGCTTCACGAGGAATGTGAGGACCGCACAGCCCAGCCCAGCCTGAGGCCTGCCCAGAGGAGGCAGCCTGCCTGCGGGAGGGGAGGGTGTAGAAGGCGATCTGGGGGTTGGAGAGCTCAGAGCGCTCGTACCATTCCCCGGGCGGAAAGCAGGATGTTCTAACCTCCGCCCTGCCACCTGTCGGCCGTGTGACCCTGCGAAGGCGATGTTACCTCTCCGTGCCCCGGTGTGCTCACGTCTAAGATGGGTTGACCGTAGCACTCGCCTCAGGGGCCCCCAGGAAGGCGGTGGCCGTGGTGACGCTGATCCAGGCTGACTGTGCCCTCGGGCACGGAGTGCAGAGCCCTCCAGGGCCTCCAGCTCTGCCCCAGCTGCCCTCCCCAGGGGAGCCAGCTTCCTTGTCTAAAAGGAAGAACAGCATCCTGGGGCCTCTCCCGAGGTGGGGACAGCTCAGGTCACCCTGCATGGCAAGACCAGACTGACCAGAGCCCATGGGGAGGGCGTCCCCACCTGTCCAGTGGGTGGAGGGAGCAGGTTTCTTGGGGCAGCGGAGAGGGGGAGGGTGGGCGGCCGAGGGGGGGTCACTTACAGCACCTGTGTGACATGCATTCCAACAAATGATGGCCTTCCTCCCAGTGTCACCAGTGCAGATGTCCCTTGGGAACATTATGGCCACTCCTGTCCCCTCCCTCCCTCCGTCTCTCTCCCCTCTCTCTCTTTCCCTCGGGTTGGTGGTTTTCTGTGTGCCCCCTCTGCGTGGCTGCTCTGGGGCGTCTGTAGTCCCAGGGGCCCTGCCCACCCGTCTGCCGGGATCCCCAAGCCCTTAGCACCCAGCCGGCCCGTCCCCAGTCCCCGGCCCCCGGCCCCCATTCCCCGCAGCACCCGGGCCCGCCTCCAGGAGGCGCCTCTGGAAGCCACGGAGTCCGTCCCTGCGCCACGACTAACGGCCCTTTGGGGTGAGGTAGTAGGTTGTATAGTTTGGGGCTCTGCCCTGCTATGGGTTAACTATACAATCTACTGTCTTTCCTGAAGTGGCTGTAATATCGCCGATGGACAGCGTCCAGGACCCTGGCTGGGGAGGGGACGGGCAGGCTGGGGACGGGCAGCAGCCTTGCTGGGGTGGGGTGGGGGCTGCCAGGCAGTAGGTCTGCAGGCCTACCTTCCACTTGCTGTGTGATCTTGGGCAGGTGCTTTGACCTCTCTGGGCTTCATTTTCCTCATCTGTGAAATGGGGACAAATGAGGATTGGAGACGATACTGTATGAAGCATCCGGAGCAGGGGACGGCTCGCAGTTGACCCTTCCGTCCCCCTGCACTGCATGGAGAGCCGGGGGCCGGTGGCGCAGTTTTTGCCGCCTGCCTCCCCTCCCCGCCCTCCCGCCCCCTGCGTCTGGACTGTGTCCGCAGCTCCATCCCTGTGGCCGGCAGTGGGCACCAGGGGGAGCGGCGTGGGCCCAGAGGACGAGGCTGGGGTGGCAGGACAGGCCCCCAGGGAGACCCCCGGGGAACCTCAGCACGCCCCCCGGCGTCCTCACCGGCCCGCCCAGCTCGGCGTCAGGCCTCTGGTCAGTGACGGCCCCTCCGCTGGAGAGGGGGCTGAGGCTGCCCCACCCCTCGCCGCTCACCATTCCAGGCGGGAAGGGAGGGGGGCTTGTGTGGCGCTCTGCGGCCCTCGGGGACACGAGCTCCCCCACCCACGACGTGCAGGTGGACGGGCTGGGCTGCACCGTCTGTGCTGCCTGCATTGTCCCTCCTGCCCCGCGCCTGCCCGGCCTTGCAGCTTGGCTCCCGTGGCCACCCACCACCAGGCAGGGGCCGGGCCTGGGCGTGGGGCAGTGGCGGGACAGCGGACCCTCCCGCACCCCCGGGCACCGGCGGGGTGAGGTAGTAGGTTGTGTGGTTTCAGGGCAGTGATGTTGCCCCCTCGGAAGATAACTATACAACCTACTGCCTTCCCTGAGGAGCCCAGCGACACGTCCCCACGGGAGGGCCGCCCCACGCCCAGCAGGCGACTCCGGGGGCCCTGAGCCATGGGCCGGGGTGGGGGAGGCCGCGGCGCGCACACCTCGACTTCAATAAAAGCTGTTCTGACGTGTACCTGGAGTCCTGCCCTGTTATTCCAAAAGCCCCGGGACCAGGTGATGGAGGGTGTGCGCACGTGGATGGTGGTGTTGGGGCGCATCTGCCGTGGCGGAGTGTGGGGCGCGGCTGGGGAGCGTGTCCGGGCTCTGGGGGTCACCACACTTGCCCAGGCGCAGAGGCCTGTGGGCCCTTCCCGTGGGTGCAGTCCTGGACTCCAGGCCCCAGACGTGTCATCAGCCCTCATCCTGTGGAGACACCCCCATAGAGCTCCTTGCAGGTGGTGTGGACCCCAGTCGGCAGCTCCAGGCACAGGCTGGGGACCCCACGACCACCTCACCACCAGGTGCTCAGTCTGAGCCCAGACGTTCCCATCTCCTGTGCCCGGGCCCCTCAGGACGGTTTGAGGGGTAGCCCTCACTTCTGGTGTCCATCCATGGGCCACCTGCCTTCCTAAGGGTTCACTCGCGTTTCTCCCAGAGGCCTTGAGCCTCACATCGACGGCCGCCGCATCCCTGTCCCCACAGTCGCAGGGTCTGGGAAGCAGAAGGGGCCCGTCTGTGCCTGATGGAGCACTGAGCGCTCCCCTCGGGGAGGCAGGCGCTGGCCTGGCTGAGTCCACGCCCTGCCCTTGTGCCGTGGTGCCTGGCGCAGACCCGAGGAGGGACCACCTTCCCCGGCTGGAGCCAGCCCCCCGAGTCTGCCCACAGCCCCCCGTGAGAGGCAGCTCCAGGCTGGCTCCTGCCGACAGCACAGGGCACGCCGAACTGGACCTCAGTACAGTCCTCCAGTGCGCCAGCCCGACAGAACAGACAAACGTGGACGGTCCTCAGATAGTGATCTGGGATCGGGACTCTGCGACAGGGACCGGAGGCAGCTCCTGACCGAGCCAGGGGCCCCAGAGGGGCCGGCTAAGATGGGCACTGCTCGGTCATGTGCGCAGCAGCCTGAGGCCCGGCAGGACCTTCCTCCTAATGCCCCGGCCCCTCCCACCTTGACTGTCCCCAAGCCACCATCTTGGCCCCAGCCTCCATCCCGAGCATCCTGGCCTCCTCCTGCTGGGGTTCTCCAGCTCGACACCCATCTGCGACCTGCCTGCTCCGAGGAGCTTCTGCCACACCCTGGGTTGGGGACGGTGGGAGCCCAGAGAGCAGAAGTCCTCCAACACCAGCGGCCATCTGAGCTGGATCTTGACGGCTGTGTAGGAGTTTGCGGCTGGAGACAGAGAAGAGGCCGTCCCTTCTCCCATTGTCCTCCGGCAGCCGGGTGGGTGGCAAACTTGGGCACTGACTTCCTCCTCCTCACCTATGGTCAGTCAGTGGTGGAGTCTGGCCACTTGCGTCCCCTCACCATCATTTCTGTCCCTGCTCTCTCTGCACCCCCACTCCCTCTGCCCTCGGAGCTTCGTGCGGGTCCTAATCCCTTTCTCCAGACACTTGGCCTCCTGGGCACAGCCCCGTCCGTGCTCATGCCTGTGCATGCTCTCACCTGGAGCCCTCCTGCTCTGTCCTGCTTCTCGGGGCTCTGAACGCACAGTCCCCTCCTGAGCACGTCCGCAGCTCAGGTGCCGCCTCTGACCGCAGTCGTCTGTGTAGAAGCTGACGTCCTGAGTCCAACCTTTCCTCCTGGCACCTCCACTGTGCCCAGCCCTGCAGTGGGAGCTCACAGCCCGGTGGGGAGCAGCCAGGGACACGCAGCAGCCGCTCCTTGTGGTCAGCTCTATGTTTGGGGGAGGCTCGTGGGCTGGGAGAGCCCCAAGGAGCCCTGGACCCAGCCCTGTATCAGGGACGGCTTCCTGGAGGAGGTGATTTACCCAGGGTCCCTCCTCACATTCCAGCCAACCAACTTCCAGTCTCTGCTCTGCCCACCTGGCTATCCCTAGAGACAAGGGTGTCAGAACCCACCAGAATGTGAGCCTGAGTGTCTCAGGGAGAAGGGGAGGCGCGGGGCAGGGTTCCCCATCGCGTGGCCATCAGCGGTGTATGGAAGCAGTTTGGTCCTGAAACACGCCAGATGGCGTCGTCAGCCTGGTCAGAGCAGCTAGTTCATTCTTGTCCCCTCGTCCAGGGCTGGAATGCCCCACCAGGTGGCGGAAAGGGCCCCCACCTTTGGGGACACAGGCCCGGGATGGTAGCTCTTCTCCTCAAGCCTCGGTTTCCCCATCCCACCTGCCAATGTCAGGAGAGAGCAGCTCAGAGAGCTCAGCTGAGGCTGGAGGGGGTGCACGGGGCGGGGGTGGGGGGTCACAGGAGAAGGGCGGGGCCAGGCAGGAGGACCTGAGTCCCCGACTGCGGCTGGGCGTCTGGCGCCACCTGCTGCCTGATCCAGGCTCCCGGCGGGGCTCTGGCCTGGGGTGGGCCAACAGGTGAGCTCCCCAGGGCAGGGGGGCAGGCCGGGGACTGCTGAGAGCAGAGCCAGGGCCACACGGCACTGAGGGACGGGGTGGTCCCCCAGGGCCCAGCATCTCAGGGGCCTCACTCTTGGGGTCATGGGGCTGGGCTGGCCTGTCCATCTCCCTGGCAGGCACATACTGCTGGGAGCCCACAAAGAGGTTTCATTTCAGTTTCCTTTAAAATCCGAAGGGAAAATGAATACAGATTTTCCCCGCTATCCAAAAGTACAACGTTCCCTAGGAAAACTTCCCTAAACCGAAATGGCATAAAGTGAAGAAGCAGTTACCATTAATTTATATGAAAAAAAATATTTCAGTGTTCCCAGACCTAATAAATCACGTCTCTTGGGCATTTCTGATACTCTTAGGACACGTCCTGCTAACGGCTACACAACATAACTTGAGACAAAGCACAGATACTCGCAGACGCAGCTCAGAGCTGCGGCGGCGGGATGCTCAGGGGTCCCGGGGAAGGGGCTGGGGGTGCCGCTCGCCATCCCGCTGCTCGGGGCGTGCACTGGTCTGCACTGGCTTGGTGTGAAGCCAATGCCGAATGCGCTTTTCCCTTCCCCTCCCTTTTTCCCATAAAATCAGAACTCCTGTTTGGATTTGTTTTCAGTTAGCAAAAACAGGTACTCATATAGGTCTTTTGTAGAAGCCAAGCGGCCAGCCACGAGCTTCTGAAAACATTGTGTGGACACACTATGTATAGTGAATCCTCTAATCGTGCACAGCGTTCAACGCACAACCTCTGCGGTAATGAGCCCGTCCTGGGGTATATTCCCTCCATACCCCCCAGTCAGGCAGGGCATTCTGTGATCTGTTTTACGAAGGAAGGACCCAGGGAGGGCACGTGCCCCGGCCCCCGGCGCTGCCCGGTCCGCCTGCCAGCGTGGCCTCTGCACTGCCCCGCCCGGAGGGTGAGCGTCCCTTCTGTCCCTCCTGCCGTCGCTGTGGCCCCGGCAGTGCCCCCTCCCCGACCCCGGCGGCCAGAGCCTCGGCCTGGCCCGCAGGCCCTGCGTTTCCCGACAGCGACACCGTGTGGCAGCACGAGGAGGTGGCGGCCGTCGCCCCGAACTGCCGAAGGGGATCCCCACCGCTCTTGGGCTAGATGCCTCAGGTTCAAGGTCAAGCCAGGGGAGGGGGCCGGTGTGTGCGGATTCCGCGTGTACCCCGTAGCCCCCGCCAGGCCCTCTGTGCCCTGGGGGCACCAGTCACCCCTGCCGTGGCCCCACTCACAGAGGGCGCCGAGACCCAGGTGACACAGCTGGTCCTGTCCACCGCCACTGAACCCTCGGCATCACTGCCCCCCCCCACTGGCCAGCCACACCCAGGGCAGACCTGCGAGGGGCGCGAACACCCTCCACATGCGGGGATCCGAGGGCGCTGCAGGGACTCAGGCCACGGCTATCCCCAGGCACTGCCTGCTGGCCTGGGCCCAGGCTCCCTGCAGGAAGGGAGAGGTCCCCCCAGTGCAAGAGGATGGGGACACTGGCTTGTTTGGAGGCCTGGAGGGGGGGTGGCCCCTGGCAAGAGGAGCCCAAAGGGAAAGCTGGGGCTTCGGTGGCCAGGCTGAAGAGGATGGGTTCTCGGGGGTGAGGCAGGCCTGCGTCTTGCTGTCATGCCCGTGGCCCCCCTGGCAGAGGCTTCATGCCCACCCAGTGTCCCTTAGCCGAGATGAGTCTCCCTGATGTTGTTGCTTCCTGGAGCAGGCAGGGTCTGAGGGCCAGAGTGGACCAGGAGCCTGGGGGGGGTCTGGGGAGTCCCCATGGGAGCTGGGTGAAGGTGCTGCGCTCAGCCTCTCTCTCTCGAAGTGGAGCAAGTGTGAGCAGCCAGCTTGCCCGTGTCAGGTCCTGGACAGCTGGGGGGCTGAGACGGGCCAGGAGGGGACAGGGCCATTCTGTGGCCTGAAGGGGGTTCACGCTGTCACCCACGCTCAGTGATTTCTGGGGGTCTCACTTTTGTCCTGACCCGTTAGGGTCCCAGAGCGGCCTTGTCCAGTGTTGGTGTTCTGTGAAGCTCTTTGGGTTCCTGGGAGGACAACCAGGCCCAGATGCTGTCCCAGCCGGCTCCCAGCCGCCAGGCTGTTCCACTTTCTCAGCGCTCCCCACCCCCATGGTCTATAGCCTCCCGGCCCCCACCCCCACGAGGCTGGGGCTCCCATGGTATCTTACTCCTGCAGTATCCCCAGCACCTAGCCCAGTGCCTGGCACACTGTTGGTGCTCAATAAACACCCCGTGACTGAAGAAACGATTTAGAGTGAGCACATGGTCTGCTGGCATGGAGCCCAGCTTTGGGAGGGAAACTGGTGGGAGAGGCAGTCGGGCAAGTGGGTGGCAGGAAGCAGCACCTGGGGACCCTGGGGACTGTCCCCTAGAAAGGCCTTGAGATGCTCTTGGACTCAGAGGGCTCCCTGGATAAATACATCCAGAGCAGCTGCCTACAGTGTCCTCTCTTGGAACTGGTGAGATTTCTGAAGGCTCTGACAAGGCCTGCATGGAGGACACAGGCCTCTTAGACTTGGTTTAACCCACAGTTTCTCGGATAGGCCTGACCACACCCACCAAGCTGGTCAAGTCACGCCAGCGAGCTGTAGCCCAGCCTGGCCTGGCAACTCTGCATTTC